TTTGTGTCGACAAATACATTAAGTACTTAATTCGCAACTCTTTGCAAATGAATGATTTTTTTCAACATCTTACTACATTGATTGTTGTCAGGATCAAAGTGAGATAGAATCGTTCCATTCCAAAATATTTTACTTTATTTTTCAAAATATAGTTTTTTCTCTCAACAAAATGTATAGTAAATAAATCACTCCTTAAATGTTCAAGATACTTAATAATATACAGCTAATCAAAACCCACATAATCTCAAGTCTTTGTTAGAGACTCGTTCTAGTACGTTGTAGGGGTGAAATGGGGATTTGGACAGCACAACAAAAAATCCGTAAATGAAAAATATCATGTTCATGACCAAATGTTAGTTGCAAAGGTAAATATTGATAAGAGGCAATTGGTCTAATACGAACAATGACGCAACATCTCTTAAGCAATGGAAGGAGCCAAGTCTCTAACCACGTGCCTTGAAATATGTATCACACGTGTAAAATCTGAAAACATCCCAAATGCATATTCAACCATAGCAGGTATTCAAGAACCAGTCCATGAAATTTTAATGAATTCAAAAGAAATTGTATTGAGAAGGAACTTTAGGGCACCCTTGGAGCAATGTGCCAGATGCCGTAGTCAACCGAGTAGCTCTAGAAGCATGTATAAAAGTGAAAATTTTGACAAATAAGTCACCATTACTGCCACTCAAAAGGATCTGTGCATGAGATTTTCGACTTCATACGGATCCTCGTTCAATTCTTTAATATGGAATGACCCCAAATAGACGTTGGGAATTTTATTTTCATAAGTAATGATCCAACAATAAGTTACAGAAATTTAATAAATGACTTTGCTAAACTATTTTGTGGATGGAGACGCGCAACTAAATATTCAATTACAATCTCAATTGACATACAATAATCATTAAATGCTTGTCTTGATTGAGTAATCGAGGAATTGCGCTCGTAATTTTATAATTTGAGCAAATAGTCTAGTAATGATTGCATTCCTAGTAAAAAATAGGCAAACTGTGATCATCTAGTATAAAAATCATATAATATCATAAAATAACGGATGGTTCATATAGTGGGTGTATTGGCCCACATATATCTCCATGAATTCTTTCCAAGAAAGTTGGAGATTCAATTTTGAAATTTGTAGTCGAATGTTTGATGATTAACTTGATCGCAAAGTCAAAAGTCTAATGATTAACTTGTCTTGCGATCAAGCTACACATAGATAATTACTAGGCAAAAGAATCTTTTGGTTCTTTAAAAGATGTCCGTGTGAATTGTTTATTATTCGACGTGCCATTATAACTCTTGGATGTCCAAGTTGACCATGCTAAAGTATAAAATTTTTTGGTCAACGAACTTTTAATTCTGACAATATTTGATTCAACCATTTTTATAAATGTATAATTTATGTTAGATTGGAGTGCATAAATTTATTTTTTTATCTGTCTCTGACCAGATACAAAAAAAGTTATCCTAAGAAATTCAACATTATTTTCTTGCATTGTCTCAATCCATTGTAGCATCGTTAATATATAATTTTGTATTATTTGATAAAATAATATAAGCTTTTCCTGAGCCTTCGACAATATTCAATACACCTGATATCGTATTAACATTATTTTCTACTAATGTTAAGTCCAAAAAATATGTCGCATCTTGAGAATAATATGTGTAGTTGTATTATGAATCAATTATATATCTTGACAATCCATCATAAATCTATTAATGTTACAAAATAGATATATTTAAAAAGCTTGAATTTAAATTTAAAGGGGTAAACATAATTCAATACTATGAAATTAACGAAGCATAATAAAGTTCCTCTCTCTCTCTCTCTTATTATTATTATTTTTTTCAAAAAGTGGCAACATATTTCAAACTAAAACTTTAAAATAAAGGAAAATACTTGAGACATAGAAAATGCTAATCTATATTTTCCATTACACCACTCCAATCATATGGTCAATATTCTCATTTGGATTAGTAAAGAAATTGGAGACATTCAAATGAGTCAAGTCAATTGGGTCATCATAATCACCAAAATTTCTCTCCACTTTTTCCTTTCCCTTAATTGATTTTTGGTAAAGATTCATAAGGTATTTTGTCGTACGATGGGCACGTGTCCAATAACTTTTCATTCCACATCTAAAGCAATTTTTTTCGTGCTCTTTTTTGGATGTGCTACTTTTAATTGCTTGTGCCTTTTGAAATTGTTGTCTTATTGCTGATAGTTTTGTTTATTATTTCGTCCATGATTTATTCCACCTGCACGTTGGGATCCACCTCCACGTCCACGTCCAGTTTCATGTCAACGTTCAAGTCATTGTCTTGATATTGCATTTGCTTCTGGTAATAAAATACCATTTGCTTTAGGCAATGGTGCAAAACTAGTTGAACGCAATCTATGATTTTTCATTGTTAATTAATTATTTCATTTAGTCACAAGCACACAAGATATGAGTTTTGAGTACCTTTTGAAACCATGTTCACGATATTACTGCTGAAGGAGCACATTCGAGGTGTGAAAGGTCAAAAAAGTTTTCTCCAACATATCTTCATCAATGATTTTTTCTCCACACAAAGTTAATTTTGAGCATATTCTAAACAATTTAGAATCGTACTTCCTAATAGTTATGAAGTTTTACAAACAAAGGTGCATCTATTCATAGAAGGCTTTAGGAAGGACTATAGTCCTTTGATGATAAAATCTTTTAGTTATTTTTTTTCCAAAAAACTATAGACATTTCTCAGTGAGATATTCAATTTTCAATCCACCATAAAAATGATGACGAAGAAAGATGAATACTTTTGCACAATTCTACAGGGATTCTTTGTTTCCTTCTTTTATTGTCTCTACCAAACCTTTTGAGATAAGATAGATGTCAGCATCGAGCATCCATGATACATAGTTTTTGTCAGATATTTTAAGTGCAGCAAATTCAAGTTTTATAATATTTGCCATTTGATTAACTACACAATAAAGAAAATATAATTAGTTTAGAAAAATATGATTAAACATAATATAATGGTTAATCAAGTAATATTAACACGACATAAGTTACGTGTTTTCTTTCAAGGATAAACACTAATTTAAAATAAATATATTTTTCGAAACATGTGCTACTTTGAGAGCACATTTTATTTTACTATTGTTTTTTCAAGAGCAATATGCCAACATTCTTCTGGGACATTGAAAATTATAATTTATGCTTTTCAGGAACAAGTAATATTCTTCAAAGATATTAATTATAATGTGTGCTACGTCAGGAGCAATAACAAATTATTTATAACAGATAGATCTACAATTAATAATTTTTTGGAATATTAATTATAATATTGTGTTACACCAGGAGCAACAACATGATAAATTATTAATTTAAAGTATATAGAAAAAAGTTTAATCATGTTAAAGACATAAAGATCATTTACTAAAAATCATAAATGTATATCTTACAACAACAACAATAATAATAAGTAAAGAATGTGTGATTAAAACATGAAATAAAGATTGTGAACATCAATTGTGATTGTCAAATTACTGGCTATGACTTCCCCAAATATTTCTCTAAATCTTTAGATATATTCTCATTGTGCTCTTGATTTCACTACCAAAATGTCAAAAAAAGGAAAAAAATAAAATAAAATAAAATAAAAAAATTAAAAGAAAAAGAAGCAGAAAACCAGCAAGGAGAAGCAGAATAATTCACCCAGGCGCCAAGTCTTGGATTTTATAATAAAATCTAGAGAAATTACAGCTCAAGTCCCTGAAGTTTCAAAAAGTAAACAAAATGGTCCCCAACTTTCCTTTGTAATTTAAGGCGGCACCTAGGCGCCGCAAGTTTCTATCCAATAGCCACAAAAATTGGATTTTTGGGTCATTTGATGCTTAGCCCCTTAGAAACTTGCATGTCGGGTCCTTCAACTTTGATATTGTACAATTTGATCCTCAATTTCCTGACTTTTATATCAAATTTGCCTCCATAAATTTCATCCAAGGTCCTTAACTTTATATACTCGTTCATTTTGGTCACATATGCTTTTTGTCCATTTTCACTCCCTTTTGTATTGATCTCTTACATTGAGTGATTTTTACCTATAAAAGCAATAATCACATAATTGTGAATAGAAAGTTGCTCATTCAAACAATATTTAAACTTATTTAAGTATTAAACGAGTCAGAATGTGTGGTTAAAAAGTAATGACATTTTATTGAATTGTATGTAGAATATTTTTATTGTGGAGAATGATACTGTAGCAAATAATTTAAAATTTTAAAGGTTGTCAAACAGGGGCTTAATGTCACTACGGCCATCCAATTTGATTTTGTTTCATCATGGCAACCCAATTTTATATCTAGTGTCACTATGGTTACATCATTTGATTTTATTTTATCATGACCATCAAATTTTGTATAACATTTGAAATTGGGTGATTATAATAAAACATTTTATGAGATTGGATGGTCATGGTGAAATAAAATAAAATCCGTGGTCATGATGATACTAAAAATAAAGTTGGATGACCATGATGAAATAAAATCAAATTGAGTGGTCATTGTGACACTAAATACAAAGTTGGATGACTATTGATAAATTTGATCCTTTTCGAATGTCTAGCCCTTATTTGACCCCATTTTTGACAATTTTTTTTAAAATAATGTATTGACGAAAAATGTGTAATTAATAAATAAAGAAAAATTTAAATTTATGTGTAATATTATTTTAATAAAAAATAAGTAATTAAAATAAAGTCAAATCATTGTCAAAGAATATATTCTAATGGAAATAATGAGAGCTAATATTTATAGTAAAAGAAGGTTCAATGACCCAAAAATGAAATTAACTTATTTATAAGAGTTAATTGTTTTAATAATCACTCGACAATTTATACTTAATAAGCAATTTGAAATATATACCTAAGTTCAATAAATAATCGAAAATATTAATCTAAATTCAGTAATCAAAACTCCAAATTTTAAGCTTAACAACCGGAGACACGAACCATTACCATTGAAAAAATTAACTCTATTTAAAAGTAACTCTTAAATTTATTTACAGATCAAGGCGGCTTACAATGGAGGTGACGATGGCGGAACACGGCGAAACATTGCCGGAGCACAAGTTAGACACGGCGGCTCTTTACGACACCCTCCGGCAGAGCAAGGCTTCGGTGGAGGAAGCGGTGGCCAAAATGCTTGCCATTAAGAAAGAAGCCCGGCCCAAATCCCAACTCCGAGAACTAGCCACTCAAATTCTCCTCAATATTGTTACTCTCCGCCAGGTCCACATCTTCTTCACATATTAACATATATAAATCATTTTGGAATCTGGGATTAATAGGGATTCAGGGCTTATGGCTGAAGTAGAACTGCGTGGTTGAGCTTTCACAGTGATTTGAATTTTCATTTGGCTTTGTTAAAATCATTGCTATATTTGGGTATTGTTTATGGGAGAGCTCTGAAGAAACAAATTTTTATGGTAGTTGTAGACTGCAAATGCCAAAGAACTTCATAAAGAATTGTATTATGGGTTCTAAATTTTCTGAGTAGTTGAATTTCATGAATGAAATTTTAATAATAAAGGGGAAAATTTTGAGGTAGGAGTTAGATGAAAATGTGAAAATTCGGGATGGTTAACAAATACTATACTGTTGGAGAAGCTCAGCCTAAATTTGGTCACTCTCTGCCAGGTCACACAAACTCTTCCCACATAACATATATACACGTGTGTATGTAAAGCGTACATTTATTGTGTGTATATATCATTTTGATGTATTTTCATAACAATGTGAATGTATTTGTTAAAATCAGTATGACTCTGGGTCTTCTTTTTGGGAGATCTTGAAGGAAACAATTTTATATTGCTAGTTGTGGAGTAGGAAGGCGAAAGACCCTTAAATGAATTGAACTTTAGGTTCTTAATTTTTTAGGTTGTAACCAGATGTCATCATATTAGAGATATGTAAAAACCTGATTTCTGTTGAATTTCATGAATTAAAATTCTATAATAAAAGGGAAAAATTAGAAATCAGAGTGAAATGATAATGCAATGATTCAGAATGTATAACAAATAATATACTGTTGGTATTTGTCCATGAATTGAGAGTCCATGCAAAGGACAAGCATAGTAATCCTCTTGTTAATGACGCTATTTTTTAAAATCCTGGTTTACTTGCCCTTTAAATATCTGGGATGTAATTGACTTTAGTCTATAGTCTTTATAATGATTATTCGACTTACTTCCAAACTTCATCTGTGTTCATTTGCTTTGCTTATCTTTTACAGCTTTCTAAATGAAATTTGGATCTTCAGAGTATTCAATCAAAACATTTTTTGTTTTTTTTTGTTTTTGTTTTTGTTTTTTTTAATATTGGATTTATATGTTGAAGTTACTCTATCATTATGTTTTGCACATATAAAGGTAGAGCAACTTAAGAAAATGATATGCCACACACAATAAAGGAGTATGATAATCGAAATGAAAAACATGCTTGGTGATATTATTATTTCAGCTTGTGATTTTGTGAGGTTCAAGTGTACCTATGATTACTGTTAGAGGATCTTCCATATTGCAAATGGCATCTAATTTCAGTTGTTAATATGATCAATCCTAGTAAACATAGCATCAGCTGCAATGGCATACCATTTATTACTCTTAACTTGCAAAGTGATTATGAATCAAAAATTTGTCTTACATGATCCATATTAAAGTCTTGTTGCTCCTGTTCTCTGTCTTCCTGCCTTTGCCTGCTACTTTAATTTGTTCTCCAAAGTATTATTTCATTAGCAAATTTTTGCGCACGTTATGTTGCTGTAAATTTCTACTGCTGCATAATCCATGATCAATATTTACCGAAGTTATAAAAACTGGACCGGACCAGCCGGTTCAACTGGAAAAACGGGTAACTGGTCTAATGTCCGGTCCGGTTAATGCTTAAAAACTACTAAGTTTGAAACCGGTAAAAAAGGGGTCAATTAGCTTGTTAACAACAAACCGCATGACCTGGAAGCAGTTTATTCAGTTTTTCCTGTTGGTAAATGTTTTGAAAAATTATTGTTTGCAACTTTCATCCCAATACATTAAAAGCAATGAAAGGCCTAAAAAGGTTACTTTTCCATTTATTAGCCCTTATATTCAGAGCATGCATCTTCGATACTTTTGTAAAGAGGATAAAAAAAAAACATCATCAATAGTTTGTAAAGCTCTCTGTAGTCGACCCTTGTGAATTTATTTTTCAGTTATAAAAATTGAATAAATTAAAAGGTAGTAACACTATTTTATAAAAAGGAAAATCATGTTGGTATAAATTTTTTCTCTTTTTCATTTCCAATGCAATTTACATTACCTTTCATTTTAATTTTTTTTCAATGACACAATATTATAAAGCATTAAATAATTCACAATATGATAAAATAAAAATTAAATATAGCCAAATTTAATCATTAATGTGTGCTTTTGTCTATATATATTATTTAAGTTGAAAAATTAACTTAATTTCGTCAATTTTGTTGTTACTAGCGGCTCGACCGCGGTTCGACTTTTCTACCCTTTACCCTTTAACTTTTCCGGGTCAATATCTGGGCTGGTTTTCAAAACATTGATATTAACACATTAAAATTCTGACTCTTGATTAGATAGGCTCATGATTCGTGTAATGTGTCTTTCAATGTTCTCTAACAGGCTAACAGGTCTATCTTGCTTGAAGAAGATTCTGTGAAAGCAGAAACTGAACGTGCTAAAGCATCTGTGGAGCTCGCAACCTTGCAGCTCCAGAGTTTGCTATATGAGAAAAATCACCAAATTAAAGCAATAAAGGCTTGCAAGGACTTGGACACTAAATATCCTGACATTGAACTTGTACCTCAAGAAGAGTTCTTCAGAGATGCACCAGCAGAGATAAAAGACTCTTTAATATCAAAAGACAGTGAACAAAATTTGATGCTTAAAAGGCTCAACTTTGAGATGTACCAGGTAACCTTTGTTCTTTACTGTGTTTCCTTTTATATTTTTTTAATTCTTTAACGGTGCTCCTTAAACTTATCCTAATTTACACCTTATTGCTCCTTATTGCTTGTGTTATGATATGCTGTGATAAGTTGAAAACTGCTTTTTAGTTTAAGTCTGTGTATTTGTGATGGTAAGTTTGTTACTTTAACTTGATGACTTTTCAATTATGTTAAATTGTGTTTCCACCTTATGTAGTAGTAAATTCCGAGCATGGAAGCGTGTATATCCAATGAGGCTGGAGTGTCTGCATTTGACACTTATGGGACAAAGACACCAATACACATGTCCGACGTGCCATGCTGCTTGTCTTGTTCTTTACTTTTGCTTTTAAAATTGGCATGTTCAATTTTTTATTTTATTATTTTTGTTATTTCACCCATGTTTGGGTAATGCTTATAAACAATTTATAATTGGTCAAAATTATTTTATCTAATACATTTTGTGGAACCCATAAGTTCTACCCACTTATTTATCACTAATTATTATCGATTTATAATTTAAACCGTTTATAAAAACTTCACAGACAGGCTTTTAACTTGACATGCTAGGGACAGTAGGACACGACAAACACCATTTTGTATGTTTGGAAACATTAAATTAGGAAGAATATAAATAACTAAATGTAATTAGGGAAGTATGTGTAGAGGCTTCAAAAATATTATTCTAGGTAAATATTTTTGAAGTTTGCAACATTTGTGACTCAGAAATGGAAAAGACCAAACTCATTAACGAATGCAAAGGCCTTTAAGAATGGTGAGACCTAAAGGCTTGATCTATTGTATTAGGACATTTTTTTAATTTAAATTGATGTGATTTATTTATTCATTGCATGTTCAATATGGTTTATATTCTTGACAAAAATTGAAGATTCTTGATTTTATGGGAATATAAAGTATGTACAGTAATAATTTTTGTAGAAGACTTAGTCATACTTTATAACCTGAACATTTTGTCCATAATCCATGGATAAAATTTGGTGGTTTATTAAATTAGATTATATTACTTTCTACTTCCAAATGATTGAGTAGCTTGTCTTGTTATAGGAGTGGAGATTTCTGACTAGAGGTACTAGTGGTTTGGAATATGCATTCGCAATAGAGATTCCATAACTCTCCTATGAGATGCAAATGTCCCTGAAGTTTATTTTGGTTCTTGGATAATCCTATGGGCTCAATAACTTACTCAAAAGTTTACTAAATTATTGTACTTGTGGTTGGATTGCACATTGATTATTCCATTAGAGAAAGATGCGACTTAAGGACCAAGATATGATTGGATAGCTAATCTGATCGTTTTATGTCCTATCTAACTATGGATATTTGGTCTGGATAGATTGTAGGGCTCGTTGATCTCTCATCTAATTATTTTATTATATATATAAGTATCTACACATATATGTGTAGATGCATATATCTGTATATATGTGTACATACATATATCTGTACATGTATATATATGTGTGTGTATATATATATATCTTTGAAAACTTTGGTACGGTGGAATAACTTTTGCAAATGGACGGTGCAAAAGTTTCAAAAATTGCAATTATTCAAGATTTCTTCTTCAAATTGAAGAATTTTTCAAGTCCGAAGCTCAAGATTTCAAGTATAAAAGAAGATCAAATGCTCAAGATTTCGGCAGAGTGAATTTAGCAGGAGATAAATCATTCTCAAGATAGTTTAAGAAATCCTTGTATCCTTTTACTATCTTTTTCAATATTAATTTTCAATCGTGTAATTCAAAGTTCATTTCAATATTTGTACTTCAAATTTTCATATATCAATAAAATCATCATCTTCTTCAAACATTTATCTATTTCCATCTCTACTCTACCCTCCTGGCCCATTTTGGTATCAGAGCCATAAGAGAGAGGTGTGAGGTTGTAGTAGTTTATCACTATAGGCACTGTTCAAATAGGAGAACCTGATTTGATTTCAGGATGTCTACTGAATAGACGTTGGTCAGCCCGTTGTTAGCCGGGGAAGGCGTGTTAGGGTGGTCCCGTTTGTAGGCTTGGTAAGAATTAGTCTATCTTATTTAACTGTTTTTTATTGTGGTAAATTGTTATAATTTCATTAAATTTAATTATGTCATCTTTTTCAAATTGGTTTCAGAGGTCTAGAAATAGATATGAAAATATTTCAAATGTTTTTCAAGATGAAGAAGAAATTGATCAATCATCTGCATCACATGCATCAAATGATTTTAATTGTCATGAACTTCAAATTGCTCAAATTGAACAAAGATGACATAACTGGATAATTCCAAAGTTAGAAAAGAATTCTATCTATGAAATTAGAAAGTTTGATTTTACTCAAAATTATGTTATCAAAACTTTTGAACAAACATTATCTATCAAAAATCAAAATGCATACATCAATTTATTTTCAAAAGAATCAATTGAACCTCATAAAAAGAAATTCAAATATATTCATGTTGGATTAGTTCAAATTGCTGTTGAACCTTTGTTTAAATTTGGGTTAGACATTCCTATTCTCTTAACTCTTCGAGATAAGAGACATTTCAAATTTGAAAATTCATTATTATCTGTTCTAGAGTCAAATCTAGAAAGTGGTCCAATTTATTCAAATTGTTATCCAATTTTTTCAATCGATCTCAATGATGAAGCTATTCTTAATGCTCTTAATCTCAATATTCAAACCAAAAATCTCGATTTTGATAATCGTTCAAATGCTTTTGCTGTAATATACAGGATATATTACAAGCTTATGAATACTCAACTCAATATTGGTGTTTTACGTTCATCCCATAAAGATGAAAGTCTTTTGGTTGAATGTAATCCTTTTCATTCAAACAGTTTGATTCCCAAGAGAATTTCTTGGAATATTCAAACTCGTGGACTAGAATGGAATTTTGAAAATGTTCAAAATCCTATTCCTGCTCCTGTTTAAGCTATTCCAAATCAAATTCTTACTTTTCCTGATGGAAACGTTAAAATGATTTTCAAAGGATCTTCCTCTAGGTCTCAAAGATCTTATTCTTCTAGATCTGAAGATAAATCTAGATCCTTTTATCAATCTAACAAATTCTCATCTTCTCTTTCAGGTGTTGATTTTTCTCCAAATATTTCAAAACCTCAATATATTGAAAAGGAAATAGAAAAAGAAGAAGAATCAGATCAACCTGAATCTCCAACTTTTTCTGATATGTTTTCTAATCAAAATGAGAGACTTGATCATCAAACAAATATTATTTCTTCCAGAATTGATAGAAGAAATGAATTCAAAACTGATCAAACTTTTGATGTAAAAAATTTTAGAAAAATTTTTCCTCAGTTTTTCAAAAGAAGAATGAGAATCTTATTGGGAAGAATTCTTTGAATTTCCCGAAGATTTAAGTTTTTATGAATGAGTTTATTTCAAAGTTTTCAGCCAAAAACGTATTTTTTCAAAGAAAGAAAAGGTTTCTTCCAAATCAAAGAAAGAAAAGATTTCTATTCAAACTTCTAATATTCAACAGAAGATTTGGAAAACTTCTTCTGGAGAGAATATTTAATCCTCTCATCCTCCTTTGCAAGAGATAGTGGTTCCGTATGGAAATACTGAAATTCTTGCATCTCCTTTCAAAAGGATATCTGAAGAACAACCTGATGAATCTCAAGTTGTTGTTAAAGATATAAAAAATATTCAAGCTCAAAATAACTACACAAATATAGTTCTTCAACCTGTATGTTCTCAACTTAATAGAATTGAAATAAATTCTGTGAGGCATCATCCTCTTCAAAAGGTACTAAGCTGATAGAGCCAGTTTTAATTAACAGGCATGAGGCTAAACCTAAAACTCTCAAAACTGAGATTAATGTTTTCAAAGAACTTGCACCTCAGTTATCAAAAATATAATCATCCTCTACTTCAAATAATATCAATACTATTGACGATATTGAATCTCAATTTATTGATAATGAAGTTTCTCAAATCAATACACATCAAAATAGAAAATCTCAATCTTCAAAAGTTTTTCCTTATTATCCAAAAAATACTTCTTCTGATTTACTTTTTGAACAAAAACTCAAAATGCCGACAACATTTTTTGGTTAAGATATAACTATCTGGAATATAGATGGTTTAACCGAATACCAAATTTTTAAAATTCTTGAAAGAATGGGTGCTTGTTATAACGCCTTTATTCAAGAAGGAATTTCTCAAGTTGAGTCAACAGGCAATATTATTCAAGGGTTTGCTGGCCAATTAAATAATTGGTGGTTCAATTATATTTCTGAACAAGAAAAAGTTCAAATTGCTCAAGCTCTAAAATCTGATGGTTCAAGTGATAGTTTCAATACATTAATTTATTGTATTGTTAAACATTTCATTGGATCACCAACGGATGTTTTAGAAAAAGTTTCAAGTATTTTATTAACTTTAAATTGCTCAAGTTTACAAGATTTTCGTTGGTACAAAGACATATTTTTAGCACGTGTATTTTTACGAAAAGATTGTAATCAAGCTTATTGGAAAGAAAGATTTTTATCTGGACTTCCAAAATTATTTTTAGAAAGAGTCAAAAATTCTATCAAAAAGGAATATTCAAACGGTATCCTATATGATAATCTTTTGTATGGAGAATTGATTTGTTTCATTAACAGAGAAGGATTAGCTCTCTGTAATGAACTCAAGCTTAAATCCAAATTGCAAACAGAAAGATTAGATAGTCGTAAAGAACTTGGACCATTCTGTGAACAATATGAATTTGAGAAAGTTGTTCCTCCTTCAAAAATAAAAAGCAAAGATTTTTCAAAAAGAAAAGCTTATTCAAAAGAAAAATATTTTCAAAAGCCTTCTTATTCAAAAAATCATTCTAAAAAGAAATTTCAAAAGAAAAAATTTTCAAGAAAAAGTAATGTTACTTATTGGAAATGTAAAAAATCTGGGCATTATTCTAATAAGTGTCCTCTTAAAAGCAAGATTAATAATCTTCAAATTGATGAAGATATTAAGCTTCAA